CAGTATTGATACTTTATAGTGAAACATACAACCATTTTGACCTCCATAACATTAATCAGCGGAGGTTAATAAGTTACACCTGTTGAAGTAAACAGTATCATACTAATATTATAAATGCGAAAGTTTAGATGGATGCATGTTTGTTAGAGTTTGTAGCCTAAATTTCTGAAAAGATTTCGATGAAATTTGGTATAGATGTAGAGGATAGTCTGGAAGAACACGTAGGCTACTCAGTTTTGTTTTTTTTTAATTCCATGCGGTCGGAGTCGCGGGCGAAAACTAGTCTAACTATAATTTTGAAGTAATACAGTTTAAGGAGTATGCGAAATAAACAAATGAACCACCACAATGTAGACTGCTTCGTGAGTTTACATTAATGAAACATTCACGCAAAAATATAGACATCTCTTTCTATATCTTCAATTACAATGAAGACATCAATATGTTATTGTTTAGGTGGAAACACAACTTTAAGTTTGCGAAACAAGGATAACGATACCTGACGTAACCCACACCTAGTTTTTTAATCGCTATAATTACTTGGACAGTTGGTTGAACATCTCACGAATGAATTTTATTCATTTACATTTCGTTACTATGTATTTTGCTACAGTTTGAGTTGCACGGTTACTTAAATAATAAGAAAATGTTTCATTCCTTTGTAGTGATTTTTGTCTTCGGTAAGTAATCTATTAGTCTAACAAATATTAATTAGTAGTTTTCGCCCGCGACTCTGTCCGCGTGGAATTAAAAAAAAAAAACAAAAGTAAGCCTACATGTTCTTTCAGACTATTCTCTATGTCTGTGCCAAATTTCATCAAAATCCGTTTAGCCATTTAGGCTACAAACTCTAGCAAACATCCATCCATTTAAACTTTCGTATTTATAATGTTAGTAAGAAATCATTAACTCAGTTAACTAAGGATGGTTTGAGGTGTTTTATGAATATTAAAACTTTTGCATACTTATAGCATGTTATCAATGTTTAAATTCATATTTCTTTATTACAGTACTACTGATTTTTACTCCAGACAATGTAGAGACAAAACTTCAATTAAGATCAAGTGAAATAAGACGAAGTAACATGACAAAGGTTAGTAATTAAAGGCTGAAATACGCGGATTACTTCAAGTATATTAATTTCTTTTGATTCTGTTTGATGAAATAGTATTTTTGCATGATCCGTGTGGGCACATCTTTGACTAAACACCCACAACTATTGTGCGATTGTCGATTGTTTTGCAGCCAATTCAACTGTTTAGTTGCACAACGTAAAGTAGTGTCTCCATATAAGTTAATAGAAATCAAATATAGACCAAACAGTCATGAGACAGTTTAGTCATAGTTGTCTGCACGCTTTGTTACCTAAATTATCTGTCACAGTTAACTGTCGTTGAGAAAGAAACCAATCGTCTATACAAGATATTGAATGAAACACGTGAGTTCCGTCTTTTAAGGTCTGATAATTCTTGTGAACAATTGGACCCTAAAATGCCGAACTTTAGGACACCGGGACGAAGGATTAGTGAAGTTAGTAAGTAGTTTTATTGTAAGTTTTCGTAGTTTGATTACAATGTTTGTTACACTACAGTATAGTTGTGTCATAAACCAGTCCGCTTCTCGTATACATAAATAATTTATTATACAAGTTGCCGAGCGGACGCTTGTTAGGAATTTCCGTAGCGCAAAAATTCTCGGCGAGTCAATGCATAATCATATTTATGCAGACGGTAACAGACACTACGTATTGTATTGAAAAATCTTATCAATGAAATTTAAATATGAAATACTAGCTGTTGCTCGCGACTTTGTTTGCGTGAAAATAAAAAATGTAGCCTATGTTACTCAGTGATAACGTAGCTTTTTAATGGTGTAAGAACTTTTGAAATGGGCCCAGTAGTTTTAGAGTTATTTTGATACATACAAAAAAAAATACAAATCTTTCCTCTTTATAACATTAGCATAGATGGATTCCTATTATAAAAAGTAGTAGATATAATTTGTATCCATTACAAAACATTGTTTCATTACATTTTGTGTATTTATACTTTTTTCAGAATGCTTGGAACTGTTGTGGCAAATTCGATTCTATGACGAACTGCTGATAAGAACTGTACGTTGTGAGTACTTCAGTTCATGGAAGTCTAAGTTATAGTGGTTTTTGTCATAGTTATAAAGAAACAGCAGAGAAAGAATTCGTGAACCGTATTTGAGAACGAACCTATAGGTTCCTATACCTAATTGTCCGAAGGGTTCGACCTCGATTGCACACCATCCGAAACGGGAATTTCAAAAATGCTTAATAACCAAAATTAGTCTCTATCGCGTCTGTATCAACAGAGAAGTAATAACAAGGTTGTTAAAATAACAAAAAACTCTTCGTAATAATGTTCTGTTTTAGGTGGACCTACATTTGGGGATATATTGGATTTGAGAGTAATCTTTGGAGGGGATGACGCGGAGCCAGGAGATTTCCCACATATGGTGCGTGACATTTATTTAAACCAGAGTTTATGTTTCTGTACAATGCTCGTCATATGCCTAATCTTTTCTCTATGAAGGGCTAGCATATGCACTGCACCTATCTCTATCAACAGTCGTAATCTAAATTCACTCCTACAGTTTGATTAAAATAGGTATCAAATGTCACGATACAAATTTGGTTAAATAATGCAACAGAAACTCTAAATTAAACACATATGACCGTAAAGATTCTGTGAGTCTGATTAGTCTGATCTAATTGGTCTTTGAGTAACAATTCAATGCAGGGTGCCGTTGGATGGAAGGCGGTAAGGGGGACGTGGATCTTCAAATGCGGCAGCACTCTCATAAGCGACAAGTTTTTACTGACGGCAGCACACTGCACGCGCGCGGCTCGTACAGACACCAAGATAGCAGACCCCGTACCGAAGATAGTGAGACTTGGAGAAACTAATATTTTAGATGAGGTGATTTAACTAGTTTTTACAATAACAGTTACATTAAGAGTTAACCAGAGGATCTGCATTAACCTTCAACTCTTCGTATTTCTTTTGTAAAATCCAAAAAATCAAGGAAAGTTTGAGGAGTTTAGATTGAATTTCTTATTTCTGCAATGTCCGTCAATCTTACTTTTTATTAATATTATAAATGCGAAAGTTTATATAGATGATTGGATCGGTGTTTATTAGAGTTTGCAGCCTAAACGACTGAACGGATCACGATGAAATTTGGCGTAGATGTAGAGGATAATCTACAAGAACATACGGGCCACTCGCCTTTGGTTTTTTTTTAAATTCCACGTTGTCGGAGTCGCTGGCGAAAGCTATTTATAAAATAAATAGAGTTGTTATTCAATTGATTCTTTTACAGAATGAAAGCGGTGGTATTCCCATGGATGTTGAAATTTCAAGGTTGATTGTCCACGAGAACTATCGTTCGCCAAGCAAATATTTTGACATTGCTCTCATAGAACTAGAAGAGTCAGTTCTTTTTACTATGAAAGGTCATCCTGCGTGTCTTTTTACAAATAACGTGGATGATATAGATGGCACCGCTTTCATCACCGGCTGGGGACTTATTGAAGCAGGTAAAGAGGTAATTTATATAAAGAAACATTTAATCCTTGAAGTTTTATAGATTATTTTAGATCACACGTAGTCTCGCAGATTTTTCTAAATTGAATCTGGTAAGACATTTATTGGATTTTTACTACGTAAATAAAAAATAAATGACTTGAAAAGTTAGATTTTGATAAAAAATAGTTTAGCCTTTCTTAGCTAGTCTACCAGATCATTCATTTTATGTTTATTGGTAATTCTTACGTATTACATTTTTGAAATTATATTTGCTGCTTGTTTTAACTCTTGCATTGCGTATTTTACTCGTAGAATATGCTTATTTCTAGATAGTGTCGATATAAATCCGAAGCTTCAAGTGGCGGTTGTCGACTTGGTGGATCACGAGCGTTGTGACAGCATGTTGAAGAGGAAACGTAATTACCGCTGGCGAGGACTGGCGCGACATCAGCTCTGCGCTGGAGTACTCAAAGGAGGCGTTGATACTTGTCAAGTATATATCTAAAGAGCAGTTTGTTTTTAAATAAAATAGCAATCCTCCACCTGGTCAATGAAACAGCGAAATGAGAGCTGTCTATTGGTATCTGCAATCATTGATGCCTTTCTTTGGCGACTGAGGAGAGGATGCAAAGGAAGAGGATTATTGCTCTTTTCCGAATCTCCCCTTCTCCGTTTAACCCAATTCCACTTTACCTTTCCCTTACCATTGTAGGTATGGCCGGAATTGAAAATGGACTAAAATAAAGCCTGTCGCACGCACGTAACAGCGGGTTTTAATTACCACTCTTGTATGTGGGTATATTACCCATCTCTTTCATCTTAACAAAACGGAAATTGTAACGTGATCTTGTGCAGGTTGAGTACCAATACGCCCAATTTTACTTGAACTATCCCTTAATGTTTACAGGGAGATTCAGGAGGTCCACTACAGATGGATATAGATATGCCGTTCCACTCGGACTGGTCGATGCACTTCGTTGCTGGGATCACGTCTTTTGGTTATGGATGCGCGCGCGCAAACACTCCCAGTGTCTATATCAAAGTATCAAGCTTTATTGATTGGATCGAGAGTATTGTTTGGGAGGATGAAGATGTTAATGAATAAAATGATGATGTAAGTTACGTTAGTACCTTTGTACAGTAAACCTTGGGTTTGCTGCCAAGTTGTAGTGAAAATAGGGTCTAAGTAAAACCGCCTGATGTTTTGTATTTTGAATTTAATTTACTATTAAATCTAACAATGTCGTCTTTTTATTTTACTTTTCCTACTAAAATAAACTAAAAGAATTTTTAATTTTTTATAAATTGTAGTTGGGATTAAATCTGATCTTTAATAAATTAAATTATTTGCATAGTAATGTTTTTAGATGAGTTTCATGTTAGTGAGAAAATTGCAAATTTGTTCATTAAAATGTATATTACGAAGAAAATGTTTAGCATTAAAAAGTACGTCTAAATTAAAGGTCAGTGAACGTACTTATTACTAACTATGACAAACTTTATTAAAAATTAAACTAATAAACAGTTACAATTAAAATCGACACTATCGCAAATTAGACATACAACTTCATTATAAAAACTTTAACATCAAGAATTTCCAATTAGCATGAAATGGTAATATATTATAATATAATATATATATAATAAGAATAAATTGTCCATTTTAAAAAAAAATATGAATCCATATCAACTGTTAAATTAAAAACAAATTGGGATTTCCTAAAAAAATTGGAATAACCAGTTAATATCACAGGAAACGATAATTATCAGTTTGTTTTGAATTATTTTAATAATGGTTGCTTTATAAACGAAATAAAACGGAATATCATTATCTTGTTTATTAGGTCATAAGGTACCATTTTATAAGCAAACGAATACTTTATGGGTTTCTCATAAAGGGAGGCCTCTTTTTCGCACGAATGGGTCGGCTAGCTCGGTACAATGTTACAACCATCAGAAGACAAGCGTGAAGTTGAAGCAATTCCGCGTTTCGTCTAAGTGTGATGTCGGAGGCTCGATTTTAGTCCGTTTTTCGTTCCACCCTTTTCTTACGAGGAGGAGGATTGGATGGGAAAGTGGATTTGAAGATGGAGGAAACGCATAGGAAGGGGAAATATCCTCTTTATGTGCATCTCCTCCGTCGATTTAGGGTAGGCAACGAATCTGCAATTGCGGATGTATATGGGCAGCAGTCGCTTCGTCAATTAAACGGATTTACGTGACCGATTGGTCGTTTGCTACCTTATTGTAAATAAAAAAGTTCTTTACTTTTTGTTTCAAATATGATCCTATCGCTGCCTACATTGTATAGTTCAGTCGTAGTTGTAGCGTTTAACTAACCTTGTGGATTGTCGAGTTAGTGCTAGTTAGCAGAAGTTTACAACAATACCTCCCGACTGAGAACACATGCAAGATTGATGTCCGAATCATAAAGGATGTTGAACCATTCAACATTTTCTTTAGACCCTATAAAGTTTCAGCAAGTTCTTGCATTGTAGAATCGCTAATTAATAGGCATTTCAGGCTGTCTTGAAAGCAATCATTATTAATAAGAGGAGAAGTTTGTAACGACGTAATGTGGCTATTTTGCTATAAGTGGAATACAGCGGATATGCACGACTGCACATGTACGTACATAAATAATAATGTATTTATGCCTATAATGCGCTGGAACCTAATTAAACGGGTATAAGCGTCTGCCAAAACACATTGTTAGTTTCTGAATAACAAGATAAGGTATTTCAGTGTCGTTTTTACCTGCTTATTTGAATTAAATATAACATGACATACAATGGTTTAATTTTCCTCTCTATGTAATATCCTAGCTGTTTCTCGCGACTTCGCCCACGTGAAATTAAAAAAGTAGTAAAAGTATAGTCTGTTACTCACTGATAACGTAGGTTGTTAATAGTGCAAGAATTTTTGATACCGTTACAGTGGTTTTTGATTTACTTCAAAACATACCTAAATCCAAAAATAAAAATCATTCCTCTTTATAATATTATAATAGACATAGATATAGATTTATGACATTTTTGTTCCGAACATCGCATAAATTTCCTTGTTGTTTCCTCTAGTTGACTAGACGTGGAACCGCACAGTCGTTATGAACTTCCCAGTGGTTTTACCGCTATTAGCTCTTAACGAGATTTCTAAAGCGCCTTTCTTTTTTAGCATTTTAGCGCTATACACAGGGTGATGTAAGACTAAAATTCCGAGACCTATAGCGTCTCTTTCTACTGCCCTGGGCGATCTCACAACGAGGTCATACCCTAACACTGACCCTAGAAACACACAAGGGAACAAATACCTAAATCAACTTCCTGTGACCCAGTCCTTATTCAACTTACGTAGGATTCGCACATGTTTTTTCCTTAACATCTCAGTCGTAATTTCCTTCTTTATCACTTTTCATTCTCCATTTTTCTTCGCACGACAACTCCTATAGGTGTATCCTCACATTTACAATTATATTCATACTAATTTGCGTATATCATAAATGTAATCGACTTTCAATTGGGCTTTAAATTATTACATACAAATAAAACTAATAAATTGAACGAATTTTTGTTTGATAGTAGGTAACATTATAAGGTTAAATATCAGAGGGGAACTGGTTTGTCGGTGCGTCACTTTATCGCCATTAATTATTGTGGCGTCTACTGTGACGCATGTGTTTATATACTACATTACTTTATTAATAAATAATAGTTGTTTAAAATGTTTACAAAATGTTATATATCGCATATATTTTTATTAACGTTACTCGGTATGTTTATGTTAGTTGTTTATTACTTAATAAGTGTTAATTCTTTTAATTACGTGTCAATAATTCCTGTGTAAAACCGGACTGCAATTCCTGTTGATTATTTTTGTTTTTACTATATCGTTCTACGTTTGCGTTGAACGTGAAAGTTCATTTATCTAATCACTAACTTTTATACAAACAAAAGTAAGTAGCCTATGTTCTTCCGGACTATCCTCTACATCTATGCCAAATTTCATTGAGATCCGTTCAGTCTTTTAGGCCACAGCTCAACATTCACATTTAATATAAGAAATAAGATTATTATTATTCTTCAGCAGCACTCGCATGTGGTCAATACGTCAACAATCTAACTCCCAAGCAGCGATCAAGAATTAGACCTAATTACAAAGATGAGACGAGTAACGTAAGTAAATATTTGACTATTAGGTGCCCACAGAATTAAAAAAAGAACCTATGCGCACGTCAGACTGTAATACTTGTCTGTCCCTTCCATTTTGATCCGCTCAAATAAATAGGACTTTTACATTTACTTTAACCGTTCTGAGGTTGCGTGATAATAAACATTCAAACAGTAGAGTTCGTTAGTATATTAAAGATTGATGTATGTATTTAAATATATGTAAACTGGGTTACGTCCATGAAATTAAAAAAAAAGTAAATCACCTATGTTTTCTTCCAGACCATCTTCTACATCTATGACAATTCATCTAGATCCATTTAGCAGTTTAGGCTACAAACATCTATCCATCTAAACTTTTGTTTTTATAATATTAGTAGGAAGTAAGATAATAATTGTCCAGGTGTCACTTTGTCAAGTGATTCTCCACTTGTACCATTTTCCTCTTTCAAGATCCTTTGAGATTTGTACGTGTAGCTTCTTTTTCCATTTAAACATTTACCTTCTTTTATTTAGTGATCATTTTCAGGGTTTAAATAAACTGTCATCTTTGTGTATCGTTACAGTTAACTTCGGCGGATTTAATCAACTTAAAATCGCGGGATCTGTTCAGAATTATACATCGAAGGATGGAGAATAGAGATCTCGAAGTCGATCCTTGCGAGACCCCGACTTTTGTGATGCCCGACTTCCAAAGTCCTGGTCTACGTCTCAGTGATGTCAGTAAGTATGGCATTTCTCGTCAGTGAAGATTCTGATTCTCCTAATAAAAGGGTATTCATTATTAGTCAGGCACGTTTGCCCCACTGGTTTCTTCATCAATGTCTTTGCATACACGTTTTGTTTTATATGGCGGGGTATACGACAAAGAAGTCACTTTAATTCCCTGAAGCAAAGCGATCGCTGTCCATAGACATCCGAAATTGTAGATGCGTTGCTCACCCTTTATTAACGAAGAAAGAGACGCACATAAAGATACTATTTCCCCTTCCTATGCATCTCCTCTACCATAAAATCCACTTTCCCTTCCCATCCTTTACTAATAAGAATAGGATGGGAAGAGAAAGTCTATGAGCCGGTATCATTTTATTCAATGTATGAAGATAATTATTACTATTAGATCTTAATAAGATGTTAAGAAATCTGTTTTTTTAATTTCCAGAATGCTTAGAAAACTTATGGAAAATACGTTACTACGATGAAGCATTGATAAGTGCAGCGTACTGTAAGTTAATTCTTTAGATCATAAGACAAATTATAACAATTACTGATTCTATACTAACTTTCCGTTCATGTTTTCTCAAATCTCAATCAACTGAATTCACGGGATTGAGGTAACAAGTCACGCAAGCCAGTTGTTTTACTGCCGTAAATCGCATCCGCGTGGTTCTGGGAATGTACACTTAGCCTTATCAATCATTGTTTTAACGTCCATGACTGTTTTAATTATCACTCGTGCACAAGCTTTGCCGATGGCCTCATTAAGCGCAGATCGCGGTCATTGTTAGTAGGAGTACGAATCATCGGCAAACTTATACTCGACTAATATACTTAACAGGACATTACCAGCTGCATTGAAATTCACTTAATGTACGAAAGTTTTTCAGTGTCAGTAAGATAAATCGACATTAAGAAAAAAATAAAAACTATAAAATATTCATTCTTGACACATTCTTTAAAAGTACTTGACACGATTAGATGTATGTGTGTATAGACTAGATTTCGCTGGCGAATTCGCCTGCGTGAAATAAAAAATCTTCTTCCTAACTAACCTCTATATCTATGCCAAATTTTATCGAGATTCGTTTAGGCTACAAACTGTAGCAGACTTCCATCTATCCATTCTTTCTCATTTATAACATTAGTAAGGTGGAGGAGCGTCAGAAGTGTGCAAGTATTTTGTCAATAGACACAAGCCCACTCTTCAGGGTTACGCTCAAGATTTTTATCCATAATTAACATATATTTTTTTTAAGGTACTAATAACAGCAAATCGTCAGGAGTGTACAGTATAGTTACTGCGGTCGCTGGCGGACTAGATGGCATTGCTGGGGAATTCCCTCATATGGTATATACTTACTGTTACTAACTTCATCCTATTCAGTGTTGTCCAGTAGCTTGTAGTCTATGACACTCACGTTCTTAAAAGAAAACCGCAATAGTCAGGTTTCTCATCTTGTAGTAGACAAGAATATGATAAAATTTAATTATGGGATTTTTCTAACGAACGAGAGGCCACAAGAATTCGAAAATGTATGTCGTTTCTTGTTGAAATTGTTACCTTTAATCAACAGAGAAGGAGATTTGTATACCTATGCTCTCAACTCTCGACAAACCTTACTCCCCTTTCCATCTCAAATTAAGCGTATTTGGTACAATTTAATATAGTTATGCATTTGGAGTTCGATTGCAAATCGTATTTCCTTTGTAGGGTGCAATAGGTTGGCAGACAGTAAGGGATTCTTGGTTGTTCATGTGTGAAGGAGCGCTGGTGAGCGAGAAGTTCATGGTGACAGCTGCCCACTGCTCGCAATTGCCCAAGCCCCACGTAAGGGTCGATGACCTCACCCCGAAGATTGTTCGTTTAGGGGAAGTCAATATTTCTGATGAGGTACGATATATGCTCTTTGTTTAAAGCATCTATACGTATTGTTCTGAAATTTGTGAATACAAAGACCGAGAGACATGGATGTTCATTTCGTAATAGTAATTTCTGCAATGACAACTAACGAAGATTTACATTTAATTTATTCGCTAAGATTTACAAAAATATGTTTAACTAGCTGCTGCCCTCGACTTCGTCTGCGTGGTATTAGAAGACATACGAACTATATAAATAACAAAAAGCTACGTATCTCTCGGGAAACGGACATTTCTCGGGGATGATCCTTATCCCATGTGTACTCTAGACTTTGTTTTATATCTGTGTCAAATTTCAATAAGATATGTTGAACCGTTGCAGAATGATCGAGTAAACATTAAAAAAGTAAATTAATGAATCCCACGGGAACCGTAACTATTCCTGGGATAAAATGTAGCCTATGTGTTCTTCCAGACTATGCTC